TTCATTCTGCGTGACGAACAATGCACATTTTTAACTGAAATGTAAGCATATATGCTTACAAAAGATACAAATACAATACAATACAATACCCTCATGCCGGGTCTGAGTTTGATTAGCCATGACAGTTTTTCACCCATCACCTACCTCGGGAAATATAGCGCGCAGTGGCAACCTATTGGGTGATAGGCCTCACGAAAGATACGAACCAGCATAATATACATATTAATAAAAAAAGAATTTTGAAAAAGGCAAATTATCTGCCACTAACCAATCTGAACTAACAAATCAAGATACAGAAAGACAGAGTGCGAAGCACGGATGAGAACATATCTGGGATTTTTTTCACCGGTTTCCAAATACAATCAACCCATTATTGTTGATGTTGTTGTTGGAAGAACCAAGTGGACCAAGCGGCTCGTTCACTTACCTTTGAACACGGTTTCAAATCCTTCTCGATCCGGATTAAATGTGAACACTTCACCGTGTGAATTGCACGCCAGTGCCCACACGTATTTCGGTGGCATAAAACGAATCGCAGTGACCGGCATGCCCAAAGCCCATTTGGACGGTCGGGGCAGTTGTTTTTGACTGCCATCCGCGGTGTGTATTACCTGAATGCGCAGGGCCGGATTGTAGTAGATCGAAGGGGAGAGGGAGGATGGGTGGGTGGGTGGAGAATGCACAAGTGGGTAATCCATGCTGTGGACTATAGTTCGTTCCGTTTTGTAAGATATCGGACAGTTCAGGTGTAAATGAACTGTTTATGACCCTATGATTCATGAAGCTTGAAATATGCTATGTACGGTTTTTGGGTTCGGTGAAAAATTTATCATTACTAGAAATGGAAATATTCGCCCAAAATAGAAACTAACTTATTCATCACGCACAAATTGTGTATGGGTGAACCGAACCCGATTTATGAATGACAAAAGCTGATTGGCAATCTTTCTGAACTTCTTCTCTTTAAGGCTTTGAATGTGACAGAAAAAAATGCTAATCGTTCTAATTTATCGGATAATGGGTTAACGAAACCGAGTTTGATTTTGAAGAAAGGCAGACTGATCGATCGGTCTACGCGTGAAGTGGCTCGGAAAAGGACAGCATTCCAACCGGGAACAAACACTGGCTTCTACACCTCATCCCATGTAATACAATCATTCTGTGCCAATCAACCTGCACACCGACAGAAAACACCATTTCGTCCGACGCTAAATAACGTTCATGTGGTTTACTATTGTGACAGGGAAACACTGTTACATTTGCGATGAAAAACACGTTATTAAATTGCAGAATAATGAATTCTTTATATAAAATATTGAATCCCGTTTTATGTACAGAACAGATTGGGTAAAACTAGGTGAAAATAATGTGAATAGATATTTGTGTGTGTGCTCACGTGTGTTGCGCATGCCGCCAAATAGGTTGCCAGGGCACGTGCTGTTTGCCGAGAAAGGTATTGGATGGAAAAAAGACAAGGGTGGCCAAACTGAGACCTGGCATGAGGGTATGAAGACTCTGTCCAGGAGACTCGGACATATAGGTCGCGTTGGGCTCCCTGGATAGGAACCTCGGGACAGTCGTAATCAATGGTTAGAAAAACAGAGTGATATGGCTGTGTCGTAAAAAACGGGGCTCAAGCATGCATCTACTCATTAGTCTTGCAACCTTAGTACTCATGACTTCTCTATTTTCACTCTGACACTGATTTGCACTCTCCAATCTTCCCTTTACTCCTTCATCCAAATGGGAAGTTATGAGAGAACAACCAAAATCGTTGCACAAAAGTGGACAGTTGATGGTGGTGAAAACCGATCTGAACTGAACGTAGTCAAAAAGGAAAGCCACACGTGTATGATAAGCATAGAGATGTGAGTCATGGAAAGTTTGTTTGTTTGTTCGTTTGTACAACCATTAACCACGCATATTCGTGCGCCGGTTTTGGTTGCTGTATTTTGGCTGCCCATTTGGATGAAGAATAGGAGAAGAAAGGAAAATTGAAAGTGACAAAGACTAAGCGATGGTTGAGGGTGAAAACGTGCTGGCGACGAGTGTGACTCCGGTTGAAATACTACTCGGCAATAGACTCGCATCAAAATAGTCAAAAACATTTATACCTGAAATATAAAACACAAGAAAATGGCTTTATGATAAGGAGGAGGGGAGGAGTGGAGCACAAAGTGGAAAACAATTATTCATTGTATGCCCTTCTGAGATTCGGAAAGTGGGTTAGGGCTGAGAACACGCGTATAATAAACGCGTGATTTTCAGATTGCATCCCCTAGGAATAGCCACCAACTCTAAGAAGCAAACCAATTTGGCCGGCCAATTTATTTGACATGCTGTTAAATAACAAATCAAGTATACTATAGATCATAGACTTACAACACGAATTGGGAAAATAACTAATCATGACAAAATGAATTATTCTTTACATCATCGACCGTGAGTTCACATGTCAATGAACTGGAATGCGTAAACGGCAAGGTAGTACAGGTCAACTCACTCTCACGCTTGTATTGGCCGATCCGGCCAGGAGCAACTTGCCATCACCACTGAACTGAACCGAATGAACCGCGTAATCATCGTGAAGTCGACGCCACGGATGTCGACGTAAATAGTCCTGCATATGCAACCGACACGGTCCCGTGCCAACCGGGACCGGTTTCTCACAATCCCCATCGCCAAGCATCGCACTCACACTGTTCTCGAATCCGCTCCTATTCCCGGTTGGATCTGTGGGATTTTGGCTGGACGAAGAGCAAGTACATGTGGATGTGACCGTGGCACTGTTGGAGAATCCAGGCTCCAGTGTACGTTGTCCCGAGTCCGTATCGTCTATCGGCAACTCGTCCGTATCGTCCGTGCGATTCTGGTTACTATCGTAGCCCGGAGGGAAGCAAAAACGGACAAATCGAATACGTGTGAATCGAAAACAAGGAGCTAATCCGGACTCGATCATCGCCCCGGCCACCAGGGCCGATTCCAAATGACGCCGGGACATGACCGTTTTCGGATGACAGTTTCGCCCAGAGGGAGATAGGAGGTTGCTGATTGAAGATAACTTTCAAAAATCAACGTCAGACCGCTGAGTTTCCGACTGAAATATGGATACAACAAACGCGCATGCATGAAAACTGAATGCTTCCGGATCTTCTTAAGAGGAAAAATGACCCGAAAGTCGATGAACAAAACATCAAACTGGTGCGTTCATGATCTGAATGTCACTCCATCTCAAGAGAGACCAATCGAAGGAAGTGGATAATCTTAAATTTTTGATGAGGTACTCTGATGCACGCTTGTGGAAATAGCATTGACTCACGCCTTTCGTCACTCGATAAAATTTTCATTAATTCACACTCAACTCTCAATTACTTGTGAGTAATCATGCAGAAAAGATTAAATAGATTTGGACGGACCATTCTTCAGAGTTCATACACGAAAGCAACACTGAACTCAAGTTTCAGTGTCCGTAGATCTCGTCAGCAGTGCATATCCACCGCCCTGTTCGGGCTATGAATCCTGGACTCGTCGCATGATAGACGTATGTGTTACTACTAACACAAAGCTCCGAATGAAGTTAGCTGATAGTCCACTTTCTCCGTTTTTTCTCGAACCCAACTCACTGACTGACAAAAAATAAAATACAATATCTGTCTGCTTCCTTTGTAATTTGTTGAGGATTGAGGGTGGTCAAACTCAGACCTGGTACGAGGGCATGAAAACACGGACCGGGAGACTTGTTCACATAAGCTGTGTTAGGCTCCCTGAATGTGGACCCCGGGCTCATTGTAACAAATGGTTCGAGACACTGGATGATATGCCCGAGTGTCGCAGTGGCGCTCGTGCGTCTACCCATTATCCCTGCAACCTTAGTTCATGCGAGTTCTCTAATTTCTATTTGACTTTGCTAGCAACATTCCATTCTTCCTTCTGCTGTTTTACCCAAATGGGCAGCCAAAAGGCAGCAACGAAAAATGGTACACGAAAGTGTATGGTTAATGGTTGTAGAAACTGAAACGGTTGTGGCATTGAAAAGATACTATCCCAATCATCTCCGTTGCGATAAACGGCTAAAGTAGATCGTCAAGTGTCTTCATACAAGTCGTTGCATTTCGATGATCGTTCAGGATCGTTCAGTGTTATCCAATTAGGGAAAAGCACCTCGGTACCTAACTGATCGTGTTCCTGTTTGCAACCGAACAAAAATACAATTGCTTCCTTCTTGATATCATGCTAATAACAATGTATATAATCCGATCCGTCCCGGTTAAAGGTTATCTTTTCACAGAATAGCACTTTCCTCTATTAGTACGTCTATCAGTATGCATGGCTTTTGGCCTACTGTAGCCTTTGATGAATTCGATTGCGGCGTCAGAGCAATGATTCACTTCCTGTTCTCTTACCCTGNAGGCACCCGCTGCGCAGGCAGAGCTACTTCAGTTTTACGCACCATACCCAATCGCTGTCAACTTTCTCCAATCCCATCCAGTAGGTAATATCTTAAGTATTTCTAATGTTCTAGTTATCCACTACTACAAATAATTCAAACATCACTGATCAAAAAGCCTCACTGATTGAGTGCTATTTTTATAAATAAAATCGCAGTATCCATAAAAGGTGTAGCGTGAACAGGTCTATCCGTGAGGGTTCTTAAGGAGCTCCTGCTTATGCGGAATAGCAAGGAACGGAGCGGTTTTTCTGTCTCCAAAGCCCTCTGCGATTGGGGATGGTGCGCAAGAAGTAGGAAGCGACCAAGGGAACGTTTAAGGCGATCCCCCCCGGGCCCGAACGGAATCAGACGCGTATGAAATATATCACCCAGGCATATATATATATATATATATATATATATATATATATATATATATATGCCTGGGTGATATATTTCATACGCGTC